ACAGTCTGATAACTACACAACTTCTGTTATTTTTGATACACAATTGTACAAACATTTGTAATGCTCATCTTTGTGCGATTGAGTGGTGTGTGCGGTTGACTCTGTAATGGTAACATGACACGACAATGTGTTTTGTGAAGCTGTGGTGAAACTTGTTTGTTGCAGGGCAGGGTGACGTGGACTGAGGCTCCCCACGCCAAATCGCCTTATATAGAATGGGACACAACAATCTTAGGGGCACAAAAAAGGAAGGTTGGCTACTGCGTGCCAAAATGTGATGGACCCTGCCGTGTTGGACAATTTGCAGCCCGCAGTAGTCAACCTTGTTTGTACGAGGGCAGCCCAGCATTTAATCGACGGTCTCCTACGTCTGCTCCGTACACGTGAGAGAATAAGTCCAAAAATCTTGTCAACCTGTGGTGAAAACTGTTTGTTGCAGGGCAGGGTGACGTGGACTTCGGCTCCCCACACACAGCAATCTTAGGGGCACAGAAAAGGAAGGTTGGCTACTGCGTGCCAAATTGTGTCGGACACCGCCGTGTTGGACAATTTTCGGCCTGCAGTAGTCAACCTTGTTTGTACGAGGACAGCCCAGCATTTAATCGAAATGTGTTCGTCGGATACCGAAAGTCAACCTTGTTTGTATGAGGCCCGAAATGTGTTCGTCGGCAGCCTACAGCATCTCTTTCTCTCTCTTGGACTCTGTTTCTCTCTCTCTCTTTCTCTCTCTCTCTCTCTCTCTCTCTCTCTCTCTCTCTCTCTCTCTCTCTCTCTCTCTCTCTCTCTCTCTCTCTCTCTGATCATCAGTCTCTGATCCCTCAATTCCATCAGTCATTGCAATCATCACGTGCCCGGTCGGCGCGCGCAAACCCAACGCTCGCCCATGTGATCTTCGTACTCCAAAACGTGCTCAGTCCTTAAACGAGGAAAACACAGGTACAACCCACCCCCCGATAACACAAATGACCCGTAAGCGAAACTGCTATTGCACACGGTCCAATACCCTGTTTCAACACGGTCCAAAACATTTCAACACATTCCAACACACTTTCAACACGTTTCAACACATTTCAACTAGGTTTCAACAACATTTCAACAACTCTTCAACAAGATTTCAACAAGCTACCAACAATGGATCAACAGTTGGACCAACTGTCTGTCAACAGTTGATCCAACAGTTGAACACACAAGTTTCAGTGTCCCTAATATACGATCAGTGTTGATTTTCTTCAGTTTGTGTTGAACACATGCCCTCCCTCCCGGCCAACGATTTATAAACAGTTGAAATGTGGTGTCAACATAGGTTCAACGTGACAAAAAAATTGCCACATTTTTTCTGTTGTCCCCCCCCCCCCCCCCCCTTTCTCCCATCTTCATTCCCGCCCTTCAACTGTCCCTCCACTCAACCCCTCACCCTTCAGGGCGCGCGGCGGTTCAAGATGGTGAGCAACAACATTAAGCCTTGCCATCAGCGTGCCCACAAGAGACTAACTTCTATGCTCTTGTATAGAGGGATAGTCAGACAGCACGCTCAGGGCCGCCTAATGGGGGAAAAGGATAATGCCCCCAAAGATGGTCAAACCCCGGATCAGATGCACGTTGACACAGGAAAAAATCCGGCAGAAGACAAGGAAATAACATCAACCACCGAGGCTCAACCGAGCTCATCCTCTCAGGGCTCGACTGTCAGGACCTGGGTAGAGAAGGTCCAAGAGCGGCTTGCCCTCGCAGTCAAGCGTAGGAAGGAGGGTCTGGGCGAGGAGGGGGGGGAGGAATGGAAGATCCCCGTAGGGAACCTGACAACAGCAGGCGCCTTCTTCCTCTCCCGCCTTCTGGCCACCCCAGAAAACAGAATCGTACAGTAGGGGGGCAAGTCGTCCATTGTTATACTCCTCATGCAAGTAACTGGGCCTTCCATGATGACACAGCCTTCAAGTCTACAAACGACAAGGTCGGGTGGATCAGAGAACGCTTAGCGGCATTCAAAGGATCTCCAACGAATGCACACGAACTGTTCCTCATCCAGCCAGCCTTGTCGTCTGTCATCACCATCCTCTGCGTCTCAGAGGCCGACAAAAGAACAATGGATGGTTGGAGATCTCTTCGGTGTGATAGGTCAGAGGTTCGTATCTACCCCTGGGCCCCCCGAAGCCACAACGCCTAGAGGAACGCAGGGAGCAGATGATGAGAGAACACTTCTGGGTAGAATTTCGGCACATACCGATTGAGATCCAGATGGCCTTTGCTCAGGACATTGCTGAGAAATATGACATCATTGATTTCATTGACCCGCTCCCCCCTCATGTGGCCCGGAGGGATGACTACTTAATAATGGCCATCAACCTTGCCGATGAGCACATCTTTTCAATTGATGACGTGATTCCCTTCTGTGTGGGGGGTAAACTATACCGTATCCACACTGCCCATAAACACAGGCCCTGGTGTTTCAAATATCAGGCCTATGGGCACCTATACATAGACACAGCCTGTGCTCGACACCCCTCGCGCATAGTGAAACCCACCGGACGTCTGAAAAAGGATCCTTTTGATGAAACTAGGTGGCGGACGGTTGACCCCGGCCATGAGGGGTGGGTGTACATCGACAAACCAGGTGGAAAGGAAGGGGAAGTAGTTGGCTGGTCATGGGAAGGGCAGGGAGACCCATGGCCGGGTTCCCAACCGCCTTCTACATGGACTCCCCCCAGATCCCTGGAGACACACCTACAGTCTCCCCCCAAGCTGAAAAAACAACAGGGCTCCTAGGTGGCAGTTGGCAGTAAGAAGAAGGAGCCCTCACAGAAGGAATTGGCAAAAATAGAAAAAGCAGCCAGGAATCAGGGAAATCGGGGGAACCGCTTTGACTGCCTTAAAGATGCGTCGGTGTCGATCCAGGAAGCTCAGGAAACCCAGAAGGAACCCCACGTGGGAGGGGACCAGCCAACAGGGGCAGGACATGAATCGATAGCTCAGTTGAACCTGGTAGTAGGAGAGAAAGAGATAAGTAGCCAGAGACAGACATCGACAGCCCAGTCAAACCTGGCAGCTGGAGAAAAGGAGACAAGTAGCCAGGAACACCAGAAACAGGATCCTCAGGCCACTTCAATATCAGCGGAACACAGAGCAATATCGGGGGAAGAAGGAGGGGACGTGGTCCACAGAAACCAGCATGGAACGCGGTTCAAATAGCAGGCAAGGACCCGGTCACCACACCTGCCGGAACCACACCCCACATAAGCACAGCCGCCGCAACTGCAATCCCCCGGCCCCAGCCAGCGGGGCAGTGCCAACACCTGGCACAAGACTCGCAGGACTCGCAGCAGCCCCCGCACCCCACACGGCCTGATCAGCTGGCCCCTGACTTCTGCTCGGAGGCCTTCGGGGCTCAACAGATGGACGTCGACMCCCCCCCCCCCCCGCCCGACGTAGAAATGGAGGAGTCCTCCAAAGACCCGACTGACCCGGACGCCCCCCCACAGGAAATGAGTCAGGACCAGAAGGTCCAGGTGGTGGCGGACTGGATTCTTAAACATTTGCAAGTAGATTGCCCACATGAGGGGGAAGAATATAGGGACAAATCTTACGTCGAGTTGGTGGCGCTCCTTAATAATAGCCCGTCCATAAGGAACGCGCTCACCTCCGCCCCCCCCCCCCCACTTAACATGGGCAGAAGCATTTCAACGTATACTAGCCGTCGCTCGGGGATGATTCCGTCCACCTCCAGCGGCAGAACCATCTGATCGGCACCCCCCGGGGCACGAGCCCTTAGGTTCAGTCCCGAATAACGCAAGAGAAACAACTGAGGAGGGGATGACCTCACGAAGACTCAAAGTTAGACAGCTCATAGAACAGGGCCTCTTTGAGCTACCTCTTTCCAAACCGCATGGGGTGGTGACAATCCCTCTCAGGAAAACGGATGGGAAATGGGAACTGGGCCTCTCCCCAGTCGGAGAGTACGGGGGCGTGACGTTGCATGGCTGGGACTTCTCGCTCCACGAAGAGGACCGCATGGAAAGAGGCAGAGTGTTCACTGGCCAAATGTCGGCCTTCATCCCCAAACACTACGCTCCGGGCGCAAGGGCAGGGTTGAGGTTTGAAGCCTCCGGCGAAGAAATAGCTCGAAACGACCTGTACCTGCTCTTTGAACCCAATAAATCTTCTAACTTGGGCTGGTTTAGCCACAACGCCTTGCTGGATCTGCAATGCGCAAAAATCAAAGCCAACGACTTCTGGTCCGAGGATGACGTATGTCGATGCYTATGCCGAATTGTACGAAAAAAAGTKTTGCACCTAGACAGATGGGACCTCAAGCATTGRCACCCGCTATAACCCACTATAACKCACCTCGACGAAYGAGACCTTAAGCTAGGGMATCTGCTTAAAAGGAAACGATCCAAGGATCCAAAGAGGAAAAKAAGTAATGGATGACCTAGAGACACTATACTGTAAGAACCTTGCGTGGCRAAAATGTGTCGAGTCASCCGACCTTGATCTGCGCTCCATYAACGTAAATGGCCTGGCATCAAGCAAATCCGAAAAGCGYCAAGCCATTTGGGATCAACTTAAAGGAGTTGGAGGAAGGCGATGGCCAGATGTRATTTGCATACAAGAAACCCATCTGCAAGACAACCCAGAACATAACAGAGCGCACAAGCAAATTTGGCCCCACAYTGCCATAAGAGCTCATGCCCCRAAACYTGGCTCAGCAGGGGTGGCAATC